GTACATACCTGGGTGGGGTTCAGCCTCTTTGAAAGATTAATTTCCTTCTTTTATTTGCTTTATCTTCTCTTAAAGGGGAATTTTTCTCAAAATTAATTGTTCCTTCAAATTCAAGCAATGGTTTTGGATGAGACTTGGGATTTCAGAAGAAGACTTAGAGATTCTGAGCTTCCTTTGGTGCTAGACCTTTTAAATATCCTTGATGGTATTTGCTTGGATCCTTTGAAATTTGATAGCCAAATTTGGACTCTCTCTTCTTTGGGTTCCTTCCCGTGTGCCTCTTTTTTCAAGACTCTAGCCTATCCGTTGACCCCTCAACAATACTTTCCAGTGAAAGAGATTTGGGCTAAACCAGTTCCACCTAGAATAGGAGCTTTCAATTGGGAGGCTTATCATGAGAAAATTTAACACTCGTGACTTGCTACAGAAAAGGAGATCTCACTCCTACTTATCTCCTCATTGGTGTGTTTTTTACAAGGCTAATGGTGAATCCTGCTTTCACTTTCTAATCCCCTATCCATTTGCTGCTGGTATTTGGTAGTGGTCTCTTGCTTTGATTGGTTATAGGTGGACACCTTCCAACAGCCTATATGCATCCACTTTGTTTGTCTGGCCACAAACGAGAGGTGGTATCATCATGGGATCTATAGGCACACTTTTAGGGAAATAGAGAACCTGTCACAGGAGCTTTGGAAAACTGGAAGTTTTCCTGTTTTTATCACCGCCATGTTTTCAGTTGGGTAAGAAGGACTGCAAATGGAATGGCTGACACTTTACCAAAATAAGATGTCTATAGACAGCAGTTGTTTTGGGCACTACTGTAACTTTGATTTGGAAAAACTAGACAGCAGTTGTTTTTGGGCACTACTTTAACATCGATTGAGGTTGGCTAATGTCTTATTGGGTGGCTGAAACCAATCTTTTTTACCATTCAGTTTTCACCAATTAATATAATTAATAGGAACATGCCAGATGGCACGAGAATCATTTTGCTTTATCAAATATCCCACTTCAATATGAAATTTAAGCAAAATTCGAAACCAATTTCCAAACAAAAGCATTGCTACTTACCTTTTGATGAAGGAAGATTTGGCCCGACCTCGTAATCACTCAACACGTGGCAAAGGCAAACAGCTCGGCACAACAGTGCGCCCAAGGCGCGAGCACCGAAGGGAGGAACTAGCAGTCCGAACTTCCTACCAGCAGTTCGAACTCCCTACTAGGAGCCCGAACTCCCTACAAGGAGACCGAACTCTCCCTTAGGCCCCGAGCCTCACACAAAGCAATGACCCGAACTGGCCCGCCTCATGGCAGTTTGGGACACTCCCCTATCCGAACTCAAGACTTCACCTCGCTCACCACTCCAGCACTTCGCCTCCAGGACGCCGAACTAAACAAACGTACCATACCTGACACCAAGGAGGTCCGTATCCAAGGGCGGCGCACCTGACTGACTTGGGATCTGACGCTTGACAGCCGCACTTCAACGGCCACCTGCCACCGTCATCGCTACTCGCAGAGACGGCTCCGACAAAGAGGGCAGTGGCGGTTCTGTCCAGCAGAGGGGATGACACCCGAACTGGCAGGAGCTCAAAGATAATCATACCCGACCTGACAGAAGCTTAGAAGTGAGTGCACGAGGTGATTATAAAATGCTCCCTACCCCCCAAGAACAAGGTATGCGAACTTTGCGCCATCTGGTTTTATCTTGCCTTTGAGAAAATTCTAACTTGAGCTTCGGAGCAATCACACCGGGTTCCCCCTGGAGCTTCCTCATCTTCTCCGTTTCAGGTTCCTTGTAGCTCCGTTCAGAGGCAAGGTCATTGACAGCTAGGACCGGCCGGATTGCGCACCATCACCTTTGAAGAAAACAAACTTGAATTTTCAAATATTTAGCTTTCCACAATGAACCCAAATAGATTGATCCTCAGTGAGAAATCTCCAAGATAATTTCTCCAAGAATGCTAAATTAACAATTTCTGATTTCCTAAATCCTAATCCTCCTCCAGATTTTGGACAGCACAGTCTAAACCAGGAAGACCATCTACTCTTGTGGGCACCCTGAGATCCATTAGACCACCAGACTGCCTTTGAACTTTACCAATAATCTGTAAAATCTTGAGGCAGTTGCATAACCAACATACAATGAAGGGGAGCTGACTGCAAAACTGATTTGATGGGCACATGTTTACCTGCTTGTGAGATTGAGTTTGCTTTCAGCCTGTTAAGTTTGTTCTTCAGATTTTCCAAAATAAATTGCAGAGGCTGAGACCTATTCTTATTAAAATGTAAACGCAAACCCAAATATTTGTTAGATTTATCTAAAATTTTCATCGAGTCAGCCTCTAATCATTCTTTGACATAGAGGATGTGCAGATTTTCTACACATTATGCCAGAATTATCAAAATTAATTCTTTGACTCAACAGAAATTGAAAATCCTCCAAAATTAATTTGAGATTTGCAATCTCATTTCTATGGGTCCTTAAAAAAAAGCATAACATCATCTGCAAACAAATGAGAAATAATAGGAGCCCCTCTAGCAACTTGAGTTCCAACAATTCTATTTTCCAATTCAGCTTTTAAAAGAAGTTTGGAGAGATTTCCTTTGGCAACAATGAATAGGTAAGGAGACAAAGGGTCCCCTTGTCAAAGACACTTCGTTGGATGAAATGGCCTTCTGGAGAGCCATTAATGAGCATAGAATAAGAAAAAGTAGAAATGCACTCATAAATTATAAGACATCAATCATCATGAAACCCTAGAGTCTCATAACTTCCATCAAATAGGACCATTCTAAATTATACCCAGTTCCAACAGCAGATTACAAAAACATCTAGAGCCTTTATTAAAAGGACTAGGACCAGGATCAAGTCTCATATCTGATGCATCAACTACCATAGATTCATCAAAATCTCCAATTAGAGCATATGATAGATCAAATTGTTTAAGCCACTTAGATCAAACCAAAATTTACTTCGCCCACCAATCATCATGAAACCCTAGAGCCTCATAGCTTCCACCAAATAGGACCCTTCTAAATTATACCCAGTTCCAACAACAGATTACAAAAACCTCTAGAACCTTTATTAAAAGGACTAGGACCAGGATCAAGTCTCATATCTGATGCATTAACTACCATAGACTCATTAAAATCTCCAATTAGAACATATGGTAGATCAAATTTTTTAATCCGATTAGTTAGATCAAACCAAAATTTATTTTGCCCACCTTTATAAGATTCTCTATAAATAAAGCCAAGCAGCCAAGGCATTCCAGCAGGAAAAAAAATGATATTGAAAAAAGCATACTTGTCGGTTGAAACAAAAACAGAAACATCCAGATTTGATTTCCAGTAAACTGCTAAACCACCTGCTCATCCCTTCAGAAGAAATAGCATAACAATCAGTATATTTCAATTTTTCACCCAAACAATTTGCTTTCTCCTTTGGAGCCATAGTTTCACAAAAAAAAAAAATAACATCTGGATTAAATTTTGAAACTAGATTCCACAACCCTTGAACTGCCTTAGGACAATTACCGCCGTGGCAGTTCCAACTGCATATCTCCATGGGCAGTGGGTGTGGCTGTTTGGGACCAGCCACCACTGCCCAGTTCACAAAAAAAAAAAAAAAAGAATGGATATGAAGAAAGAAAAGGAGCTAACCTGAATACCATGAGGAATATTAGCAGAAGGAAATTCCTAAGACTAAGAAGTGCCTTGGTCATCTTGAAACACAGGATGAGAGTAACCAACAGCTGGGCTTCCAAGACATTGTGGAGATTTTCTGAATCTGTCACTATGTCCAGCCAAACTTGGGCTCACTTGGGATAAAGGGGCACTAGACCCAGACCAAATACTTGAAACATTTTCTGAATCATGGTCCATACCTATTTCCACTCTAGGATGTTTACCAAAAGCAGACCAGGAATTACTAGGGGACTCTTCTGGGAATAACTTGTGTAAACACAGTTTGAGCATGTAAAGCCAGTTGTTCAAGATGTGGGTCTCCTCGAGCTTCGGGAGGTAAAAAGTCATTAGAGAACCCCACAGAATCCAAATGGCAAGTTTCACTGCTTGAACACCCTGCATGAAGGTTATTAACAGGCACCAAGGAAGATGCACCTCCTGGATCCAAAGTAGGTCAGTTAGGTTATGGAGTCCTATCTGGAACTCTAGGATCAGTGGATGAAGTAAGATTCGAATCCATGACTACTTCATTGAAGAAGGGTGTCTCCCATCACAGTGAAGAGGGGCCTTCTCAGCCCTCAACCAAGGCCCTGGGTGTTGCACAGTATGAGAGCAAAAGAACTGTTCAAAGTTATCTGCTTGAAGAGAAGATAACGGAGTAGAACAACTTATAAATAAATGAGCCATTTTACCACAAATATAACATAGAACAGGAATATCCTTATAACGAAAAACTACCCAATTCAGAGAACCTATAAAAGCACCTCTTTTCTGGATTCTTTATTGAAATCATTACCTTAACCCAAATATAGTAAGTGGGAAGTATCACTTCTCTCACAGTCCCCATCCTAGAACCCAGACAATGCCTGACTTGTTCATTAATCATTTCAAGAGGAATGTCATAAATTTGCACCCTCTACCCTCTTTAATCAATTTTCTTCTCATCCTTCTTATCAGCTATTTGCTCATCATCTTCTAAATCATTGGAAGCAGTATTGCATTTAATGGACTCTCAAAGGAGTGTTTGACAGGTTGGTTTTGTATTTGAAAACCCCCAAGTCAGCCAACATATCAAAATTCAAACAAGGAACAAAGTATTTCTAGTATGCCCCACTCCCAATTGCATGTGTGCAGCGTTGTGACTGTGATTCTCAGCTACCATTACCATACCACCACCTCTCCAACACTAATAATATAAGTGAGGAACTTTTGAGGCATAGGGGGGCCACCGGCCCACCTCTGCTTCAAGTTGCTTATTTTAACAATGATCACAATGGAAACTGGCAATCATCACTTCCATGATGATTCTATTGTTGATCAATGCAACTCTTTCCTTTCATGAGTTCAAGTCAAAAAGAATAAAAATAGTCTGAACACAAGATTGTATTGTTGTTCTTCATTCAGTAATAAACAGGATGCTATTACAGACAGCAATCATTTACATAGAAAAAGGGGAAGCTAGGAAAATTCACCAAGTTAACCTTGTACAATCCTCTTATGCCTATGAGTCATCGATTCATCATTGTCATTTAAATCCTACATAGAGGTGTCCCTGAACATATCCACAGTACAGCCAAGCTCCATCAACCTCCTGATGCAAGAAAAACCAAGAATCCACCATATCACACCAAACGCCAAAGGAGAATTTGAAGCATTATTGAGTAATCTCTAGGGAGGTCCTCGGTTAAATCATACAATGCATGGGTAGCAAATTTAAAGTATGACTGTTAACCAATCTCTCAACAACATTCAGGTTATCACCACAATTTTAGATGCAGCAGAAATATAGCACTACAACCAAGGTTCAAAGTATTGATACGATACACTACATATCAGGTGTACCATATCGTATCTTTGGCTCTCCAAAACACTAATTATTAAAAGTTTTCAAGGTTGGTTTGTTTTATATAATTTTATATGATGTGACAACATGTCTGACAAAATATATAACAAACAGTATAGTTTTGATCATTTTCAACTCTCAATACACAAAATTTGTGTATCAACAGTATCAATACTTTGAACCATGTGCATAACTAGTACTTTGAACAGAGAAATTCTTAAAAAAAAGTAATGGAAAGTTTCTTGATTTTCTTCTTTTTTCTTTTTTTTCTTTTTTTTTTGCTTAAAAATGTCATGATTCAACGATCCAAGAAATGCTAATGTCTTTCACATGAACAATAGATAAAAGAAGTGGAATATAAACATCATACCTCTTATGTAAAGATCCAAAAAGGAGCAAAAAATATTACTAGCGTGTCATATTTCGCCACTTGTCCTTCAAATCAACCTGAACAGTGCAATCTCTAATAAGAACAACCTAACTCTCTGAAACAGTAATGAAGTTCACTTATGGCAATTGACCCCACTGGCCAGAACGCCAAAACCCCCTACTAGGGGTGTTCATGGACCGGGCTTAACACCTATGTTAAGGGCTATAGGCTATAGCCAAGGCTCAGGCCTGGGCCAGGTTCCTGGCCTATGACTTTAAATATAAATATTAAATGTATATAATATTTTAGATTATATGAGATATAAAATGTGTTTAAATTTTATGTTACATTATATAATATAAAATAGGGTAAATCTCTTAAAGTACCCCTACCGTTTAGCGAAATGACACACAGTACCCCTACTGTTTAGCTATTGTCTTGTGGTACCCTTAAGTTTTCTGACAATTGACTAGTTCTCTACCCCTGCCGTTAATGTTCCGTCGAAATTCATACACACGTAACACCACATGATGTATAATTTTTTTTCAAAACCCAATTTTGCCCTTTGTCCCTCTCCCTTCTTCTTCACCATCCATCTCCCCGACGGCAGCTACAGTGAACCACTCTGCAACCATTCCACTAGCAGCACCGCCAGCACCTGCCGTAGAGATCTTTTGGATTTTCCAGTGACAAAAAAAATTATAAAAATAAACTAGTGGACGGTGGAGTTGCAGTAAGAACCCTGTCTCCGATGACAGGGTTGTTGCGGTTGGTTTCCACCGGTTGTCTCTTCGATGCCTAATCCAATGCAGACCTGCAGAGAGCAAAGCAGAACCCATGCAGCATATAAACGAGGTTTGCTAACTGACTCGCTCAGTGAGGGGAATCGGCCAGTGAGGCCATGCAGAAGGGCAGATACGGAAACAAGGGTACCCATGTCTTTCCGGGACAAGAAACCATCAAAGCCCTCCAATAACCGTGTCGGTGGCATCCACACACTTGTTGGTTTAAATTATTTTTCCTCCCTAGGGAGTTACAGATCTGGGAGGGGGACGGAGGAAGAAGAAAATAGGGAGAACGAACAGGGGAAGGGGGTGTCAGTGCCCTCTTCGAATGCGAGTCAAGAAGCACCGGTGGGAGTTGTAGATCTAGGAGGGACGGAGGAAGAAGAAGAAAATAGGGAAAACGAAGAGGAGAGAGAGAGAGAGAGGCGCTGCTGGAGAGGTCCGCTGCTGCTTGCAGCAGCGGTGGTGATGAAACAGGTTCGAGAGGGAGAGAGAGAACGAACGGGGAGAGAGAATGAAAGGGACGGAGAGAGAGAGAGAATGAACGGCACTTGTTACCGCACTTGCCGCAGTTGCTGGTGTTGTAGGGTGCATTGGTGTAGCTCCCATGGCAGCAAAGCTCTGCAAACCCACACTTGTGCCCGCACTGCCCACGGTTGTTCTGGTCTCTAAGAACATTGCGGCAATGCGTCTTGCAGCACTGAAGAAGCCCGGTCCCATTGTTCACTGAAACCCCATTACAGATGTTGTTCCTAGAGACGTCACAGTGTGCATCCTTCCTGATTCTGGCGAGGAACCGTTTTCTGGCGAGGGTGTTGGTGAAGGGGTTGTCCACCACATAGTCTTCACCGTCTTCTATGTCCTCCCCTATCATGTATTTTGTAGTGATTTTTGGAGCTTCCTCCCCAATCGCATTTATTCCCTTTATTGGCTCCGGAAACCCCAAAATATGATCAACCCTTGTGGACCCTGCTTCCACTGCTATGACTGTAACTCGTGACATTGAACAAGCTGAGAATGGCATTGGTCTTCTCTGTGTCGTAACCCCATATGCAATGATCGTTCAATTGGAAGAAATTGGACAAGAGATTTTCGCCCATTCCAGTAATACCAGGCGGTGGTGTTTTAGGTACAGGGCCTTGAATACAAGGCAAAAATATCTCTAATCCTCTCTAATTGGCAGTGTGTTGGTGTTTGACCAGCGAGTGGTGGAGAGAAAAGTATGAAATCCACCGCTGCAACTTGCAGCGGCAGTGGCGGAACAAAGTGAGAGAACCCCGACATGGCCTTCTACATCAGCTCATTCATCTATGGCTTAACCATGTGTAGGGGAACCGGGGGGTTGCCCCGAGATAGGGCTGTTCATAAGAAGGCCCAACCTGACCAAACCGACCAAACCGGACCGACCCAACCCGAGTCGGTTGGGTTTTCATCAGCACGGGTCGGTTTCGGGTTGTGCAAATTCTTAAACCGGTTATTCGGGTCGTTTTCGGTTTCCACACAAGAAAACCGAAACCAACGCGAACTTAACCGATTTAGTTCCTAGTTCAAACATGAAGTTCCAAAGCCCATTAGGCCACCTAGTTTTTGAATGGTTGCAAGAAACTTTGGATTAGTGAATAGTGATTAATAAACAACTTTTGTGATTAACTTTTCATGTAAATTTTATCATAGGAGATGGCTGAAATGATGTTCAATTTATGACTGTTTTTTAAATTAGCAAAATTTTATCACAGGGATGAACTTAGAACCGAAACCGACCCAAACCGACTCAAACCGACCAGGTCGGTTTTGCTTAACACTGGGTCGGTTTCGGTTTCTATGTCAGGTAACCCGACCAGGTCGGGTTGGTTGGAAAAACTGCAGTAAACCGACCCAACCCGACCCGTGAACAGACCTACCCCGAGAAATCCTTTATTTCTTGTCCATTCAGGGGGTGCGGACACACCTACGCGGATTACAGGTGACAGTGGGAGAAAACGTAGACGAGAAGGCCGGGAAGGGTTTCACAGCAACGGCAGATCGGAAGAGTGTGAGAGTTAACGGAAGGTTTAAAACATAAAATCATCTTTTCCGTCCCGATTTAACGATGATGACAATTGTCAGAAAACTTAAGGGTATCGCAAGACAATAGCTAAAATAAACAGTAGGGGAAGTTTAAGAGATTTATTATATATAATGTGTATAATAGGTGTCATATTATGATATACACCCTAAAATATTACATTCTATCAAAAAAAACTAAAATATTACAAAAATTAACATGTATCACAAGTGTGGATCAGACCTAAAGTATTGGGCCCAAGCATGGCACAGAAATTTCCAGGCTGGGCCAGGCCGAGCTATGATCACCCCTACCCCTTACTCCCCATTTACTGTATTAGGGTCCAGGCAGTCAGTAGTTGCTTAAGCATATAAGTTGAACATCAAAATCCTTACTTAATATTAATTATCTTACAATAACAAAAGATACTATATCATTTGCTTATATTAGAGAAGTCCTTAATATAGTAATTGATATAACAAAATATCCATTCTTGCAGACAAGGTGTTCAAAGGTTCATAATTGACTGGGAAACAAGGGAATAGGCAGGGAAAAGACAGGAAATAAAGATACGATTTACCATGGTTTGAAATGAAATTTTTTTATCTATCAAAAAATTTTTCTACTTTTCAATTTGCATGCTTGCTAGTTAGTATATAATATAAAACAAAGAAATTAACCTAGAGCTTAAGTTTTCCTTTGTCAAATTCCACCACCCAGGTGGGCACTTAAGAGTTCCACTGTTTCCAAGAATCACATAACACCTTGACACAGATGTATGAAATTTTGAAATACTTCAATTTTCCTAGTGGTAAAGCTAATACTTGTTTTTAGCATTTACCTATGCAATTAATGCGGTAGCTCAATATAGTTATTTCTCTGAAAGTAAATAAATAAAATTCTAATTTTAGTCAATAGACATTGTCTGATTAATGAAATGCCTTGGGATGTCAGAAGTTCTATATAGGTTGCCTACCCTGCTTGAGTTCAAAACATACTTACCTCAGTCCTCTCTTCAAATACATCACGATAGCTAATTAAAATGAACTTCCAATTCCCTCTTCCATACCTTCACATGAAAAGAAAAATGTGAATGTAAAAATGACTATCCTCATCAAATTACAGCATAATTATTTACTGAAACATAAGAATATGTAAAATAAACATCCAAGTAACTTATGAGAAGACATGTAGATAGGCATCTCTTTTAGTAAGACTCCACCAAAAGCAATGATGTTGAGAATAATAACCATGTTGAAAGGCACACATACTTTTCTACAGCAGCTCTCAAAGTTTCTTCTTCCAATGAACTCCACCTCTTAGTCTTCCTCCTCCTAGCAAATTTCATCGTTTCGTACTTCTTTAAGGGAGAAAGAGACCTTTTCTTTGGGCTAGGTAAGTGAACTTTCTCTGAATGACTTGATGATCCTTCAGGTCGGTCCTGAGCATCATCCCACTGTAGAGAGAAGATCCTATTAGTTAAAGAAAAAACAATAGACTTAGATTAAGCACATCTTGACACAGCACATATTTAAGAATGATTCATTTTATTCTCAACAACAGCAACACGTTAAGTTTAACAGCTTGCCAAGATAGATTTATCACCCTAATCTAAATACTCCAAATTACTTCCTGAAAGATGCCTAAAATCGGATGGACTTTAAAGCTGGTTAGAACTCATAAAAAAACTTCTACAATAACTATTTGAGCTACTACAAGTTTGAAATGATTTTCTACCAAGGAAATAGCTTGAAATAAATATTAAACATAATTAAGGAGCAAGAAAAATAAAGATTAAGATAAAAAGATAATTGGAGGAGTCATGCTTCTCTTCCCGAATCAAGAATGGGGTAACATATAACTCAATACAAGGCTTTTCATGGAGTCACACCAAAGAAGGGAAGTTCTTGAGCATCATATGATCATGAATAGCCTTAAACTTTAGTTAGTTTGGTTTGATCATTTGATGTATCCTTTTAGTTATTTTAGTAATTAGAAATTCAGTCAAAAAGTATGTTAGGTATTCAAGTCCACTAAACTAGCGAATGATTAAATACAAAATTAGACAACTGCATTAGAAACAAGAAGTTTTAAAATAAGTAGAACTAAAATACAACATGTGCAATGTAAATTTAATAATAATAGGAGTGCAATTCAGGGTACACTTAAGATTGGAGACCAAGAGGTAACTCAATGTGACCTCTTCCATTACCTTGATTCAATAATTCATAACAAAGGAGAGATTGAAGAGGATGTTGTCCATAGAAATACAGCAAGATGGGCAAAATGGAAGGATGCATCTAGAGTCTTATGTGGTAGGCGAATACCACTTCAGCTAAAAGGAAATTTCTATAAAATGTTGCGAGGCCAGCTATGTTGTATGGAGCAAGAGTGTTGAACAGTTAAGAAAACAGCATGTCCAGAAAATGAGTGTGACGGAAATACGAATACTTAGATGGGTGAGTGGTAAAACTAGAAATAACAGTTTTAGAAATGAAGGCATGCGAAGGAACCTAGAAGTAGCTCCGATAGGCAAAAAATGAGAGAAAGTAGATGGAAATGGTTTCTTCACATACATAGGAGATCACCTACAACACTTGTTAGGAAAAGTGATCCATTACAAGTTGAAAGGGGCTAATAGAGCTAGGTGTAGACCAAAAAGGACTTGGGCGGAAATAATAAGAAATCATTCACATACATAGGAGATCACCTACAACACTTGTTAGAAAAAGTGATCCATTACAAGTTGAAGGGGCTAATAGAGCTAGGTGTAGACCAAAAAGGACTTGGGCGGAAATAATAATAAATCATTTAAGCACCCATAGTTTAACGATTGATATAACACTGAACAGAACAGAATGGCGGGACAGGATTCATGTAGCCAACCCCATATGGTTCGAACAAGGTTTAGATGAGGTAATCAAGTCCACTAAGTTCTGACATTTTGAAGGTCCAAATTAGAAGTTGTTGAAATTTATTCCTGGTATGATTTTAAGAAGATTCTCATTTTATTGGTTTCTCTTATAACCAGTCAGTAATTATTAAGGATATATTTCTCTCTTGAGTTGATTAAAGATGGTTAAAATGTTGAGACATGTGACCATCACTAAGCAAACTCAACGCAATTCAAGTGACATCCAATTTCTATCTTTGTGCAACCCAGATTTCTGACATGGATATAGTGAACACACAAATCCAACATGTGAGTGGGATAAACTTTACTTCTGTAAATAGTTGCATTTTATCCTTCACATCACCTATTGGGACTTGGGAGGTTCTTTTTAAACAGAACTTCAACTTTTAACTACCCAACCCCAAAGTGGGGGACCTAGCAACCTGGAAAGAACAATAAAGTGGATTTGGGTACAGGTATCCAAAAGAAAAATTGGGAGCAAGAAAAGCACACCAGATGAAGTTGACCAAAAGTGAACAGATAGTGCAAAGGCCCTTTTTGGTAGTAGAAAGGAAGTGCCCTAAGTTAGGCAGGACCATCCCTTACAATCCTATCTAGTTTTTGTCCATCTTGTTTACTTAATTCACTTTCTATCCATGAATCTTCTATTCACTAGAAAGTCAACTCCTTGAGTACCCTCATTACAGGCATGTGAGGTTTTAACATTTAATCCATACACCTTTGCAGTCTGAAGTGTATAAAACAATTGTCCTAATGCACTATGATAGGTTGCATTTCCTATTCAAGCAGTTACTCAATAATTTAGAGTCACCTTCAACGCATGTGTTTGTAATGTTCAAGTCTTTCACTAAAACAATTGCTTCTCTTGCAGTTACCACTTCCAGCATGCCAATTGTAGAGTTTTCATTTCTTTCTTATTTTATCCCCACATTTGGCCCAGATAATTTCTGGCAATGCAACATATAGCTGTGTCATCCCTTCCCTTAACATTGGCCATTATGTTGACTGGCCCATTTTGCAATGACCAATCTCTAAACCATATCACTTGGAATCCACTATTTTGTGAGACAGAGTGCACAATCACTTAAATTGACATTCTCAGAAATATTTAAAATACAAGAGAATTTTCAAACACCATAATGTTCATCAAATTATTAATACAGAAAGAATTTTCAAACATCCCAGGTAAAAGGTGCATTTGAAATGTGAGTACTTATCCATTCATTTGTCACTAAACAATTTTCTCTTTTATTGCTTACATAGATATGATTGTGTGTATACAGGTGGACGCACAATTGAGCCCTCCAAGTTCATATTTCACCCAAAGAATTTTTCTCCCAACATTTACAGCATGCCTCATGTATCTCCAGTTCATGTGAGGGCTTTCCATCCAATAGTAACACAGAAGTGAATCATTAAGAGGGCACAATTGTGCATGCACCAAATAGTTTCATGTATGACTATGAACTGTTAAGGGTATAAAGAAATGCAAGCGAAAATTACCTGAAATCTGTAACCAAAAGAATGGTCCAGAAGCAAATTAAAACAATATAAGTATTTAATATGTACAATGTTAAGAGATAAGTGATAATGATGATGATGATGATGATGATAATAATAATAATAATAATAATAATAATAATAATGATGATGATGATGATGATAATAACACCAAGAAATGACACCTAAAGATGTATAATGCAGTAAAAAGTAAGTAAATGAATTTCTTGAGCAATACAGAATTAGAACCCTGATGAATAACATATACCATAACTCATCAAGTATAATAGAAAACTGAGTCATTCAAACATCACCTCATAAGTGCGGGCAGTACTATTCCGTTCCATCAAACTAGGCCTTGGCATATTCTGATAACTCTGGTTTCCAATATTACTGTTCTTTGCTTGAACCTCCACGATGCCCTCATTATCATGGCTTGATACAGCAGCATCTACCTTATCTTGATTTTCTTCCGAAGGTTTATGATTCATGTTTTCTCTTGCAGTGTTTGACAGTACAGTTTCTGCAATGTGTAAAGCATCAAGAAGAGGGTCTTTCACCAATGTTTGTAGATCTGAAGTACTTGACTTGAGAGCTTCTTGTATTTTACTAACTTCAGGTGTCGGCAAGCAATCATATTTATTACATGCAGTATCCACACCCATTCTTGCTGCATAAGTAATCTCAGATTCTTTAGAAGCTAAATGATTGAACTATAGCTTTATATGTTGGAAAAGTCAAATAACACACATATTTTACGAATAAAAAAAAATGAATTTGGAAAGAGGAGGAACCCAGTAAATTAAAATAGAGAACCAGTGCACTAAAAACACGATGATTTTGCAAGGAAAGAGTGAAGCAAAAAAGGAAATGGCATCACTAACCAATAGACGATGAATGAAGCATCACTTTCTTGCCATCTTCCGTAGGTATATTTATAGGCATTTCAGAATTCTTATCTCCCTCGGGGACGAGAGTTGAACTCGCTGCTCTCTGTCCCAATCCAACTTGATCAGGTATTGAGACACTACTAAAATCGTTCTTTTCCAATCCCATCTCGTTCATCTTTTCAGCTGTGAATTCCAGAAAAGAGGGGAACATTGCTTCTCTTGCCTCGTTTAGAAAAATTTTTAGCAGTCTAAGAGCATCATTTCGCGTATCCTTGTTTAAGACATTTTGACAACCGGTGGCACTCCATTTTGTCGCCTCGATCTGTGCCAACGTCTCTTTCAATTGTTCCGAAACCAACCCAGCTTTTCCTGAAATCATTTTGCCTATCCTGGCCATCCAGGTCCTCTTGACTGAATCAAAATAATCAGCACGCTTGCCCGGACCCTCCCGTAATAACCTCACTGTACAATCAACTGCTACCGCGCAATAAGCTTCCTTCATCGATTCCAGAATGGAATTTCCTTCCATATACTCTAACTCTTCAATCCTTTCTAGYGATTCAAGAACCCTCTCCGAAACGGAACCATTGGATACTTCTGAAGAGATTCTCCTTAAAAGTATTGCCTTCTTGAGACGGAGATCATTGTCCGAGAGGGGAAGGACATAAAGAAGAGTGTTCACCACGCAATCTTCGATTGGTTGTAGAATCATAAATTCAACAATCCAGTGTGCGATTCGTATGTCCATTGGCGCATAATTATGAACCAAATTTCAATGGAGAGTTGTGGATGTTTATTTTTGTCTGGGATTCGAGTTAGGGTTGCTCAAGAGGGAGGCTCAGAGAACAAAGAAAGGAAAGGGTTGCTCTCGCTCCATTGGACAATAAGACAAAATGAACAATGGGCAGGCTATAAGAACAAAAAATAAAACTCTTAGAAAATTCTACATAAGAAGGGAACTTCCCAATAAAATATATTCAAAAAACTTTGTTCTAGGAATTCAAGAGTGTTATACCTGATATATTCTGGAATATAACCTGATCAAAATTCTCTGATTTTCTTCAACTTTTGGGCATCAATCTCTAAGTCCATGGCCTATAATAAACAAACACATAAACAAATAAAAACAAGTCCAATAAAAACACAAAAAAGCCCACCAAGTCCAAGTCCAATAATCAGAGGGCAAGAAGGTAAATCGATTCTCAATAGGTTACCTCCAAAATATACAGAAAAAAAAAAGCACAGAAAGATCAGTTTGTTGAAACAGATTGAAAATATTAATTAATTGTTACATTTTTTGTTTAGGAGGTTACAACATTTAAAACATCAGTCCAGCAGAGAATGTATCACCCAGGTGAATATCTCATCTCCTTTTGATCTCAATGAACTGTGCCATTCCTACTCCTTTTCAATCTGAGAAGTTCCATGTTGACCCCTACTGCTAGAGTTAGTAATGCATGTCAAGATTTAGCTTGAAAAGGAAAGCATTCTCTTAAAGTTCAATATTTTTTTTATTAGATTTTTTATATAGCCTTGTATGCACTCTCCAGGCATTTCATACTTTACCAATCTCTTAAAGTTCAAGATTTATCCTCACTTTTCTAATTGGACTTAGACATCCCCTCATAGATAACATCAGCGGACAAAAACTTCCCATCTGTTCTCCCCATCTTTATCTGTTAGCATGTGGCATAATGTGCTGTTTAAGAGAGTTAGAGAGGGAGAGCTATTTCAGATGTGATGTTCCTCTGTTGAGCCCTTCAAAATTCATAGTTCTGATTGCAATCCCTGATGGTAGACAGCAGACAACATTGTGGTGAAGCCATAATAAAAATAAGAAAT